GCAGGCTATTCAGATGTCTAACACAGATTGGGAGGTACAGGTTTGTGATGACCATCTGTTCATATGTCTGCCTGATAGCATCCCACTGGAACACTGGACTGTTTCCTCTGGCGTAGGTAAAGTGCGTGAGGTTGTACTGCACGCTGTCAGCATCCTGGCTGTTAACAGCATCTCTGAACATGATTAACGCCGGCTGGCCATCCAGAACCTCACAGCCTCCCAGCCGCTGCTGGATGTGGACTCCTGAGGCTGTAAGGTTCATCTGCTCTTTGGCCAGAGTCAGCCTGGTGCTCATGCCATAGAAAAACCTTTGTCTTATATTCACTGCCTCCATATCCAAGCCAAGATCCCCCTCCTTCTCACCTCCACTACTAACCCTCATCACCTGATCAGTCTTAGAGTCAGAGTACCCCACCTGGATGTCATCCAGCATCAGGATGAAGGTAAATTCTGGGAACGGGGTCGGTCCTGAGATGTAAGACGCCATCACCCACAGCGAGTGTCGTCCAGAGGCTGAAAGGAAAAAAGAATTATGGATAAAAGAGAAGCCTGACGGCTATCATTAACAGCTGAGCAGATCGTTCTCAGTGTCGTTCTTTAGTGTGAAAAAGAAACCAGTGACAGAAATGGCTGTTTGAAGAAGGATTTCAGTACCTGAACTCATCACAGGGACAAAGAGCAGAGCTCCAAACACCAGCTGTAAGAAAATCATCTGGATAAATTAGCTGAGCAGAGCCGATCGTCTCTTTTACTCTGTTCGTCTGATCGTCTGTTTCCTTCTTTTGGCTGTTTGCTATTTTGTTTCTGGTTGGAGAACCAATCAGCAGCCTCAGCCGGGTGTCACCAGGCAGGTTAAGGGGATCATATTTCAGGCAGGAATAAAGCAGTCAGACAGGTTTTGAGTGCACTAAGAGAGTTGTTTCAACTGGAGTCACATGAGACAGTGGAGTTTCCCCTTTCCTTCCTTCTATATATTCCTCCCAGTTTCTGACCTGTAGCTCTCAGCTGACCTAGAAGCTCCTCTCTGATTGGATGAGGAGAAGTGACTCTCTCATTCAACTGTTTGTATTAAATGGGATCCTGTTCTGCCATTTTTACTTTCAAAGGCATTCTCACTATAGTTTAACAATTTTTAGGGGCACACTGTCAGTAGCAGGCCCATCTTTTACTATTGTGCATATTTCTTCCGCCGATAATTCGTCCACTATCAGCGCGATTTTCTGCGCCTAACTAGCGCCGCACAGTACGTAAGAAAGCGGCCAAATCGGAAACATAAGTGGGGACCGACCATGGGATGCTGGCCTGTATTTATCTCTTTCATTAGTCCTTTTGTTTTTGAATAAATGCCCAACAACAAAAAAAAGTGCTTGCTCGACATTTGCCATAGGAAATTGATGGAGAGGCCGAAATCCTGGGCCAAAAACATCAGCTGCTTCCGTTTCTAATCGCTTGGCCCCACGACCTCTGAGAAACCACATTTGAGGATTAAATGGATCATGAAAGACGGGCCTCCGCCAAATTAGGAGCCACGAAGCCAGATCTCGCACCGTTTGCCCGTAATCGCTGTTGAGGTTTTAGTGAAAATCACAAAATCCCAGAATCTGCCCCTCACTCTAGCTGCCCTCGTTAAAGCCTCTGAGAGCCCTGTGGGGACGTTCACTAAAACAAGTAAAACTCCGGCCTCTCTCGACCGAACCGTGGGGCCGAGCGGTGCCAAAATGGCCTCGGAACGAACCCACTGGCGTTTTCTTTCCACTGGCTTTTTTTTTTTTTTTTTCTTGTCCTGTTCAGCATTATGGTAGTAGAACTGACATCTGCGTACCGTGCAATGCTGAGCAAAATTGCTTTGCCAAGGGAGGCTTTGTTAGTGAGAAGCCCCCCCTTGATTACCCAAAACTTCTTTATTTATTCATTTTTTGTTACCAAACTTCCATATGTCCAATAATACCGAACCTGACAGAGGGACAGGGGGGAGGGAAGGGTAGTGGAAAGGAGAGAGATCCTTTAGAGAGAGAGAGAGGGGGTAGAGAGAACAAAAAATAAAAAAATAAAATAAAATAAAAAAATAACTAAATAAAAATATATATATATATATAAAAAAAATAATAATAAAAAAAGAAAGGAGAGAGAAAGACAACAAGACCATATGACCAGCTGTTATGTCTGCAAAAAGGACTCTGTTCCTTGTGGGCAATCCGAGTGGAGAACCTGTAGTAGCTCCTGCAAAAGGGCACAGGGAAGACAAAAGAACAAACAAGCAACACTGGTAGCCGGACACTGTTCCTTGTGGGCAATCCAAGTGGAGAACCTGTTGGAGCTCCTGCAAAAGGGCACAGGGGAGAGAAAAGAACAAACAAGCAACGAAAGCAACAACACTGGTAGCAGGACATTAATGAACTTCTCAGAATTGTGCAGCAACTGTACGGAAGCCTAAGACGGCGTGTATCTGGGTAACTGACTGTGTGAGTGTGTGTGTGTGTGTGTGTGTGTGTGTGTGTTTGTTTTCATGACATATCAGGACAATTTTGTGAATACACACCTTCAATATCAGGACGCGTGGAAATATCAGGACATTTTTTGCGTCCTCATTTTTCTGAGCATACTACAGTGTTCTAGAAGCCCCAAAAATGCCCCTAAACCAAATATCTCCATTGTCCTAAAATATCATAAATTTCCGAAAATTTGTGTGTGAGTGTGTTTAGCGTTTTTGCTCATCTTCAATTACGCCAACTAGTGGCCAGTTTTGGAACTTAACACACTTTTCACACACTTGTACTCATATGTCACAATGTTCAAACACTAACACACACCTCAACCTCTTAAGCAGGTTTAAGTATTACATCAATACCTATTCCTAAATTCAGAGTCAAATAAAAGATTCTTCTTTAATAACCCTTGTATTAGAAGAGAATTAATCAAGGGATGACTGATAAATTATATCAAGTACTGTATATTAATCTGTATAGTATACAGAATTCTGTGCATATATGTAGAATAGAATGAGAAAGGATAGCCATTATTTGTCCCTCATGGGGAAATTCCCATTGGACAGCAGCGAAGCTGATGTAATAAATGTAGTGCACACAAAAAAACATAATTAAAAGTGTATAAGTGTAAATAAAACTATGTATTGTATGCAAATAAAGATATATTAGATGTTTAATCAAAATGGAAATTGAATTACAATTTTAAAAAATAGGGAATGAGGTTCCCTACTAATTATATATTAACATTTACACATACATACATATCCAAAACAGAAAGGAGATTTCAGTGACTGGTTGTTGTTACCAAATGGGATGGTCCATGAGTCCATGGGCAGGTTGACAGTCAATCACAGGGTTAGATACAAACAACCATAAACACTCACATTCACCCCTACAAACAATTGGAATTGGAATAATAAATAAAGACAAAAACAAGATGTATTTTTCCTTGTAATTATTTGTAATTATATGGAGGATCACATATTTGAGGTGTTCCACATTATATTATGTATGAGATTAATTATGGAGCCACTCTGAAACCTCAGACTTTTTAATTGGTTTTAAATTCCGTAACAATTCGTTTGATTGGTCAATACACTTAGCCAAGAACTGAGTGCATGGCTAGCAATTTTCAACACGAATAAATTCAATAGTAAGCTTGTGATGACATTACATGCAGGATTCGTCACTATGGAATAATTTTTCAAAGTTTCCGAAAGGATCGCGTTGTTTACGGAGGAAATATAAAGATTCTGATACATTTATCAGAGCGACAGGTAAACTGAACATCCGGGACTTTCTGCGCTCCGGAGATTTGGTCCGCTCCGGAGATTTTCGGTCTTTGATGTTCGTCGCGTGGCGTGTTTAACAAGGTAAGTTGACAGCGTGTTAATGGAGACTTTAAATACCCCAAATTACTCTAAAGAATCTGAAGGGATTGAAGATAAATGATAATATATCACGTTTTCTCTGTCTTACACTGTTGACAGAGTTGAAGTTGTCGTCAAATATTACTGTTGTCAGGTTAACAAGGCACGGCGAGTTTATATTAAGGTTAATGAGGCAGGGCCGCAACACGTGTTTTTTTCCAAACGGCCTTTTTTCCGTAACAGAATTAGCTGTTAAAGGTTATTTTTTCTATATGTTAAATTTGATTTCATCACACAACATATTTTATGAAATTTAAAAGAGCAATATGATTGTTTTGGATTGTTTTAATGTTTGAATAGCAGTATTTATTCTTGAATATATTTTGCTGGCATTTTGGATGGTTAAGATTAGCAATTTAATTTAACAAGGTCATATAATTAATCACAGTTACAGATAGGTTGACCAATTTACTGGCCAAATGCTCTGATAAGATATGAGATAAGTTTCAATTAAGGCAAGAAATTACTATTTAATAAATTCTACTAGTCAATGTAGGCATTGATATTTGTATTGTTTATTTGTATTTATTTTATTGATATTCATTTTGTTGACTTGTCATTTCACCTATTGATGTTTGCAGGTTTAAGAACTATAATCTTGCAAGATAAAATGTCAAAAAGAAGAGCCAGACTTACTCCTGAAGCTGAGGCTCATCAGTTTATTTTATCTGGGAGTGACAAGCCTTGTCTAAAGGTTCAATGGATCAGTGATTCTAAAGGTATGTTAAAATGATTTTTCCAGGTTTACAGCTTTAAAATCATGTACAGTAAAGACATGGTTTTCTCAGTATTTTAAAAGTCCCATGTTGTTTATCGGCATATGCTTTGGAAATGAGTGATTTGGATGCATTACATGACGATTATTGATTGATTTTGTTTGATCAGGTCGTGGTGTGTTTGCGTGTACGCCAATAGAAAGGGGATCCTTTGTTGCTGAGTACCGTGGGGAGTTGATCTCAAAACACGAACGTGAAAAGAGACAGAAAAAGTACACAGAGAAGCAAAATGCTTTCTTGTTTGATTTTAAGTGGAACGGTGATATATGGTGGTAAGTAGAGGTCTACAAAACCATGTTCTTTGCAGCCTTATGGTTTTAGAGAAAAACACGGATAACTCTCCATCTTCTAATTTAGCATTGATGCCTCCAATGAAGATGGCTCCTTTGGCCGGTTGGTCAATGATAATCATAAATCCCCAAACTGCAAAATGAAAAAGCTGACTGTCCAGGGTAAACCTCATCTTTGCTTGTTTGCTCATAAAAATATCCAAGCAGAGAGTGAACTAACGTATGACTATGGAGATGCTCCATGGCCATGGCGAGCTCTGGTAAGTTAATCTTTCATTAAACATTGTATGAAGACAGTCTGCCAGATTAAAGATAAAAAATATGCACCCTACTAGTACATTTTTGTACATTGCAGACGTGCAACCATGTTAATTCTTTCTATAGGGTCCAGTAGAATTATCCTAGGCTTTGCTTTTGTAAAATAGATTCAACATGTTTTTAGGGTTTTTCTTTTTGTCCTCTTTTGGTCTAAATAATTAGAAGTGTGTCACAATGTCCTCGTATTGTCTTGATGTCGAAAGACTTGATAGTGTTTGATTTGACGTCCTCATATAGTTTGAATA